CATCGCTCTTAGGATCGAAGGATGGAGGCCGTCACTCTTAGGTTGGAGGCCATCTCTCTTAGGTTGGAGGCCATCGCTAGTAGGTTGGAGGGAAGTTTAATTTTTCAAGCCAGAAGAGCTCAAGTGGAGCTGATTGGGGCCTTTTCAGCCCCGGACCTGAGGCCTGCGGCATGCTCACTGCCATGGCCGACCCTTGGCCGTGGAAACCGGGCGGTCTGACTGGATTGGGCCAAAGAAAACTGGGCAGGAGACGTGAACTCCTGATGTTTGAGCTTGTCTGTTCAGCGCATTGGAAGAGCAACCAGAGACAATTCGGTCGAAAGTGGGCTGTTCCTCTATTTCTTGCTCTGCTTGCCTAAATGCTTTTGGAGACTTGGTGAGCCTTATGCTTGCCTGTATAGGAAACTCAGCATGGAAATCTTTGGATAGACTCAGACTCGCACGAGGAAAGGTTTTCGGGACGTCGACGCTCCCGAAACAGAGCCACGTCGGTTTAGATGGTGGGAGCTGTTGGAATCTTTGTGGTACAGATTGGGCTGGAAGAGTTGCTTGCATGTGTATGTTGTGCGAACCTGCAATGTAGACTGTTCATTAAAAGGTAAAACACACACAAATATTGAGATGCTTTAAACATTGGACTCGGAATGGGGTTGTTTTTATGTCTCCAGCGGTTGGATTTTGTCACACATGCTCAACGTTGCTAAGACTCTGGCGCAGAAACAGCTTTGCTGCAACCAGGCGCGCGCGCGCAAATTTTGCGCGCGCGCGCGCCATGTTGGGTCGGCAGCCAGAAACCGTGACCTTCCAGATGGGATTGTGTGCATCAAAGAACGTGCCAAGACCAAGAGTTTGCAACACTGATCTGACGAAAATAGATGCAGGAGGGACGACCATGTTCCATGGCCAGCAAGGAGCATTGTAGCTGTAGTTTCTTCTCTGCTTAGATTAATTACGCATATGTTTTTTTTCCACGACCTGCACCAGATGGTTTGCCAGCCAATCCGAGGCACCATTCAATTTTTTGAGGGTAATTCACCCAGATGTTACAACCATTGACCTAACGCTCTGATGAGGTGGTCATGTGATTGAAATTGGTCAGATGGAAGATAGAAGAGCGCCCCAGTTTGGAGGCGATAGCCATGTATAATCCGGTGTATCAACAGGTCAGATCAAAGGAAATCGAGAATGCACTGGGAAGCTTTTTGGCGATTTGTTGAGTCTCCACACCTCTCCACCGAACTGCCAGGGCTGGAAGAACTTCTGCCAGAGCTCGCCATCAGCGGACACTGTTCACACAGTTCACACGGTCTACCATCTTCACCACGCAGTTCCTTCCAGCACTGTGATCCACTCCACTGTGCACTCGGCCCCCTGGAATGAATTCGGAGGGTGCAATTTTGCTTTGTGCCGCCCCTGCAAAAGTGAGAGATTCATCGGGACTTAGGAAGGTGAATGCAGGTGCAGGTATATACCTATATGCACCATTATGCACCCCATTGTTCAAGCATGTTCAAACACCTGTCTTTGATCGTCTTTTGGACTTTATTCCAAAACAGGCCATTTTGGAACCCATTCGTGTGTTTTGAAGAGATCCACTGGACCCAAAAGAAACAAAGCAGCTGGATCACTTCTCATGGGTCTACGCATCCCATGTGGTTTTCGCATCCGGCAGGTCCCTTCCTCCGTGATTGCCTCGGGTGCGTCCGATTTGAACTCCGTCCACTGGCACCCTGACGGCTTTCACACTGTGCGATCGTCTGAAGACGTGGTCCACGGGGCTTCGAGCTATGGCTTCCTGGAGCACAGTATTTGGTCCATGGCCTCCAAGCTAAGAGCGATGGCCTCCTAATTGTAATATATTGTAGCGGCCTGCAACCTAAGTTTTGGGCTCCAACCTCCTACTTCCTGGATGCCTCACAAACCCACACTTCTACTATGATATGATTAAGATGATAACGTGTTTTTCTCCATGCTACATCGTGGCACTGCTGGACCTCCCCCAACGTAGTTGGTGGACGTTTGCTGTTGGTTTTTGCAGGGGTGCTTGATTGCCGACAAACTGCAAAGGTGTCTCTCATCCTACCGCGACGCACTTCAATTGAAGACGTAAGCCCTCGGGCTGAATGAGACCAGTTGCGACGTGGCAGCAAATGGGTTCAACCATGGTCAACCTATTGGATTTGTCCCAAACGGGAAAAGATTGGCCATGATTGCTGGACCAATTTTGCAGACAGATGGCCATGAGGTCGAAAGAGGTCGAAAGAGTGCACAGTCGCCCGCAATGCCCCGCACTGTCCGGTCGAAGGAGCTCTGAATCTGGTGCTAAAGTAGTAGGAGCTCCGATTGATATGGATGGCCTATTCTGCGAAACGAATCGGCGGCCGATTGATATGGATGGCCAAACCTTTCAGTTTTGACCCACTTCACCGTGATATACATTCTATATACAGATACTCGCCACCAAATTCGCGTGTTTCGTCTTGTTGCGAAAACGGGGATCTGAGAGGACGCCCCTCAACATCTTAAGCGGTTCCTCAGTTTTCTCCGGTGCTGTGCTCGGTTCAAATCTCTTTGCACCCGAAGGTGTAGGCGTCCTTTTTTGAGGCCAAAGGATGATTGATGAGCTTGCCTGACAAATCGAGATAATGGTCCCAGTTTTGGGCAAAACAGGGCTAGAGAGGAGTGCCATTTTGAGCAACAGCCACAACTGCACCATTTTTGCTGAAAGGAGGGGCATTCATTCATTCTGGACACTGCCTGGTTTCGGTTTCAGTTTCAGTGCAGTGCTGCTTTTTGAAACACATTTGTATGACTTTTGCTGTTTTCTTTTTTGGGCTTTGAGTCCAGTGGCCCTCAGGTGCGGAGAGACGGACTTTTGAGTGAGCTGCTTTTTGGCGCTCAGTGGTGCTCTAATGTGAGCCTCACATTTTGCCATGTCAGCAAGCCTTTTGCACTGAGCTTTCTCACTAGTAGAGGTTGCGACGAAGGTGGGCTCAACAAGAACTTGCTGATTGCAATGGGGTTGCTGCTGTATGTGATTTGGAGATCTTCCTTTCTAATCGGCAAAGAAGGGCACTTTTCCTCTTTGTTCTCCGGGTCCTCAGCAGTATGATACTGTGACTTGCTGAATTGAGACGCACTGCCTTTCATGCCTCTGGAGGTTGATCACAATTTTACTTCTTTGCACAATGTGAAAACTATGAACCATGGAGCTGAACGATGCTCATCCAACGATTGGCTCGTTCGGCACCATACCCATCTAATAAGAAGCTTGGCGAAGAACCAATGCTTCCCTTGAACCAATCTCGTCTTCCTTGCATTACCTCCTTCTTGGTTGAAACGCTTGCAGAATCCTTTGGCGAAGTCAACAATCCATTTTGTTATTTCGTATGCAGGACGATGAGATTCGGACTGATGACATAAACTCGATGACCAGCGATGAGAAAGATCTGCGAGTGCCAGTCTTTATCCAACGTTCACTGAGTGCAAGAAGGTCTTTTGGGACTGTATTTCACAGAATCTCTTCTGTTGAACACAAGCAAATTTGGAAGCGGTTGCTTGCACCACTAGATAGAAACACCAAGTGGAGTTGCATAATAACTGTGGGCCTTGGAGTTTACAGGAGGTAGGTCCCATGTGTCCAGGACACAAGCGCCCAGGCAACAAACACACGGTTTTTAAGAGCAAACATGATAGCATGGTGTTCGTGTGCGACCGATCTATGTGGACATATTCAACGATAACCAAACAAAGAAGAAACACGACAACCTAACAACATCTAACAACACATCTCATGTGAGCACCTGTCCAATTCCAAGTCAAAGAATTTCACTGAAGAGAACTGTTTTACTGAAATCGAGTTCTTCCTCGAATCCTTGTTCGAGTCTATCGACCTCTGACAAAAGAAGTCTGCCGTGTGTGCGCGCACGCTTCAACACCTTGTAAAACGACCAAAAGCTAAGGTGTTTTGGGCAACAGCGAAAGCACACGTTGTCCTCTCCCCTTTGCACCAGCTGTTCCAGCAGCAATTCTATACAATATTTTACAACAATTGTTTCCTTCAGTTGTGCATGTCCAATTATATTCCAATTATGTATTATTTGATGCAAACAGGTGGGGAGACTCACTTTGCGAAGCACACAGAATGTTGAAGATGCTGCTCCAGCATGTGTGTTGATCCGATGAACACAATGTGATTTTGCGTGTATGTGTGTATAAAGTATACGCACAAAGAATACAACAGGAACCAGTAGGAGCAAGAAGCTACTAGTATACGTACTAGTAACAAAGGGCATCGCTACTAGGAGCAAGGACGCTAGTAGGCGCTCCTGGCCTTACTAC